GGGGGGGGGGGGGGGGGGGGGGGGGGGGGGGGGGGAGATTGTGGTGACAGTGGAGGGGGCTGGGCGTCCCTCTGCGGATCCATGATAAGGATGAAATTAGGCTGAATGTAGGGCACTCGGAACTCATCTTGGGGCCGCCTCTGCCAGGCCTGTTCAGTGCTCCTCCATGATTTCCATTGGATGTCCAGTTCGCTGAGTTCGGCGTTCGTTTAACTAAACCGCCTCAAGAGGTCCTGCCATAGTTCTCTGTAGGAGTGCAGGATGACATGTTTGGCCTGGGGTTCATTCTCGTTTTAATAGTCACTTCTCATTGTCCTCCATGCTTCTTGGCTCCTAGACCTAATACCCTCTTCCACGGTTCACCGCTTGCAGAGCCTGTCGCAGGCCGAACTAGTAGTCTTTCCTCTCAAAGGAGCACCTTGCTCGCTAGGCCAGCATGAGGACGTGCAGCCTTGTGTAGGTGAATAGGTTGATTTCAAACTGAGACCAGCGGGCCAGAAAATGCTGCTTTTTGCCCACTAGAAGAAGGGCCACATCCCATGGGATATGGATCAATGTTAAGGAGTGGAAGGCTGCATCCCACCACTGCCACAACTGGGCGACCATACGACATAACATGTTATTCGTTAAAATAGGACATTATATTTTAAATTGGTACTCGCAAGCTATTGATTTCATGTTAAAATCACCATATTTTGGGTTTGAATGAAACTTACGATATGAGTAGTGAAGCCGAAGAATCCAATTGACAGGCCATAAATTGAAACTGAACTGGAGATTCAAGGCAATCACATACAGAACTTGATGGATTAAGTGTGGATTCCATTGCACTTCCATAACTTTTATAAGTTAACTTCAGTGTATACCGTCGTACGAATACAGCCCGTCCGTACGTACGGCCCTCCCGACGCCCGTACGGCCTGTACGTACGGACTTCGGGCCGTCCGTACACGGCCGTCTGGAGGGGTGGTGAGGGGGTGGATGGGCTGGGGGGGGGTCGGGTGTCAGGGGGTACCCCCTCATTCAAAATAACAGGAAAAAAAAAAAAAAAAAATTTGGTCCCGGGTGGAAACTTTTTTTTTTTATTGATTGATTAATTCGTTGATTGATTGATTGATTGATTGATTGATTAACATGTGCACATTGATTGATTCATTCATTCATTCATTCATTCATTCATTGAGTGAGTGGGTGAGTGAGTGAGTGAGTGAGTGATTGATTGATTGAGCGTGAAAGAAAAAAAAAACGAAAAAAAAAAAAAAAAAATCATTCAAAAGATTGATTGATTGATTGATTGGCAGTGGGGGGGTCGCCTCTCCCCCGCGAACACACACACACACACAACGACACCCTTTTTTTTGTTTTGTTTTTTATTGATTGATTGATTGACTGTTATTCATTGATTGATTGATTGGTAGTGGGGGGGTCGCCTCCCCCCCACGAACACACACACACACACACACACACACACACACAAACCTGTCTCTTATACACATCTAGATGTGTATAAGAGACAGCACACACACATACAAAAAAACGTGCGACCTTTTCTGTTTTTTTTGTTTTTTTTTATTGATTGATTGATTGATTGGTAGTGGGGGGGTCGCCTCCCCCCCACGAACACACACACACACACACACACACACCCACACCCACACACTCATAAAAACGCGCGACCTTTTCTGTTTTTTTATTTTTTTTTGTATTGATTGATTGATTGATTGGCAGCGGGGGGGGGGCCGCCCCCCCCCGCAACCCCCCCCCCCCCCAACACACACACACACACACCTACGCGACTTTTTATTTTTTATTTTTTTTTGATTGATTGATTGATTGATTGAGTGATTGGCAGTGGGAGGGTCGTTTCCCCCCCTTGAACACACACACACATGAGGGGCAACTGCCCGTTTTTTTTTGCTATGAGATTTTTTTTTATTTTTTTTTCCTCTTTGTTTTTGTTTTTGATTTTTTAAAATTCCTTTCAAGGGTAAAAAAAAATAAAAAAAATATGGGGTTGTAGATTTTTTCAAGATCTACAACCCCATTTTTATTTTTATTTGTTTGGTTTTTTTTTTGGCCGTCCAATCACCGTCGTACGGCCGTCGTCCGTACGCCCATACGGTCGTTCGTCCGTCCGTACGCACGGGCCGTACGGAGACCCCTCGTACGACGTACGGGGGACGACACAAGTTAACTTAAAAGTCGTTACGGTAATAACATGGAGTTGTTTGAAATTAAAACTCAAAAAAATTTCAACTGTTGCACTCAATGTAATAAGACACTGAACAACAATTATGTTGAACTCTCGATTTCATCACACCTTGCTCAATTTTGTGTAAGCATTGAGTCATAAGTATTTTAGATGACATTGTGACTTGTATTAATTTATGGGAACTCAATCGAAGTGTGACTTTAACGCAATCACACGATAAACAAGATGGTTTAAGTATGGATTTCGTCGCACTTCAATAATTTATGCACTAACTTGAAAGACGTAACTGGTGTGACTTGCATAAACTGAAACTCAATCGAAGAGTAAACTTTAAGACAATCATACGGTAAACAAGATGCTTTAAGTATGAATATCATCGTACTTTGATAATTTATGTATTAACTTAAAAGACGTGACTGATGTGACTTGCATAAATTGAAACTCAATCGAAGAGTAAAGGTCATCACACAGTAAACGAGATGGTTTAAGTATATATTTCATCGCACTTTGATAATTTTGGACTCCAT